CCCTTTCTTGACCGATCATACATCTCATCTATGCGGTCGTAGTCCGCACATCTAGTGCCTTAATGTGGCCATAAAATCGCATATCCTTAAGGTAGGATTGTGAGCAGGTAGGCGTTCTATTGACGATGCGTTTCTGGCATTGCTGATGGTTATTTAAATGGTCTCTTATTTCACGAGGCATACTAGAATTATCAGCTGGTGATGCCCAAAGGTGTAGATGGGCTTAATCACCTGCATCCGCAGCATAAGTAGGAGACATGCAGCACGAATACTTACATCTCCATGGGATCTATGTTAGGTTTGCTTTTGCCGAAATGTCAGATTGTTAACCTAGTAAATGTCTCCCAGTACTGGCTGTCCTTTCCCTTTTCATTATTTCATGTGGTTCATCCACACCTTTCGGCACTTATGCACACGCATATGTGCGTGTCTGTGTGTGTGATGACGCCATGATGTCACTAAAAAAGGCTGATCATACACGTATGCACACAGAATGTACGCAGAAGGATAGATCGGCTTGATATATTGGGCAAACATTAGGGTAACAGAAGCAGAGACGTAAGGAGTAGATAGTGTGCTTAAGGCTAATCCAACAACACATAAATCTGTCTATTTGACCGCAGATCACCAGTATTGCGCCATTACCAGCGATGACTTTCCCCGCCCTATTTAGAGGGCTTCCATTCATCTTAATGGGATCTTAACGATGTGGCCGCTATGAGTGGCGGCCTGGCCTAAGTTATAACGCAGTTATTAATGTCCAGCACATATAGGTAATTGTTTTGAATTTGAAATTGCATTATGCAACGACAAGGGGTAAAACGAGTGATGTTTATAGATAAAAACGTTCCTTACTCTACGATTCTGGTACAGGTCTTGACTTCGATCTCGGCTTGGGTTTAAGTTTGATTTTGAAGTGTTGAATGCAAACACTTTGTTCTTCAAAGCTTGCACAGCCAAATAAAGCCAAATTAACTTGACTTTCAAAAAAATGAACAAGATTAAAGCTTCTAAACCTGACCGGCTTAAAATAAAAGAAATGCCGGAGAAACCAGACTGCTTTTTACTGAAGAGATGAATGTGCAAAAGAACTTCGGATATGCTAAAGCCTCAGTTCTCAGGGAATGAGCTTTCCCATTCTGCCCATGGATGGTCCAATTTGGTGATATTGCCGCCAATTTGACAAGGGAAAGATAAAATGAAGCAATGCGAATTGTAAAGTGCCAGAATTTGATGAAGTAGTAGAAGATCCCAGTAGTTCAAGCGCGAGTAGGGGCACACTACCACCCACTACCACACGTTCGTAAAATATGTTATAATTACACTTGACTGGACAAACTTTTATGCATATAATCACTTTATTTCCCTATTACCATATTTTTTGCAGAAAATGAGATTTCTTGCTAAACATTGTTGGATGAAGTAAAAAATGTCTTATTTTGCCTAAATTCGACCATATATATCTTTGAGCATCTGCAGTGATTACTAAATACGTCAAC